ACAATAACAATAACAATAACACGACTGCTAACAGTAGGGGGTTGGGGGGAGGGCGAGATCCCAGAGCCGGGGCACCATGAAATCGAAGCCAAAGACCTCGGGACGGGCTCAGGCACGAAGTATTCTACGACTTCAATATAAAAACGTGGGGTCCATGGTCGTTGAACCCTGCTTCCGAAGTTCTGAAGCTCATGAGCCCCAAACACTGACCCCCCCCCCCCCTCTGCGGGCAACACAAACTGAGGTCCTCAAGTTTAAAGTTTTGAAACCCCAAGGCCAAAAAAACCACGAAGACTGGAAAGGCTTCAACGCTCTGGGTTTAGTTTCTTGGCGACGGTTCAGGGCATGTAGGCTTTGGGGGTCTTCGGCGTGTTTCAAGGTTTCGCGCTCCGCGCTTACATGTCGAGCCGTAACCCGAAACCATGACTCGAAGCCCGGACCGGTGAGCTCAGTTTTGGAAGCTTCGAAGGTCAAGATTTAGGATCGAGTTTTTTGAACAAACATCGTTTGGTTTAGGGTTTAGGGTAGATACCAAAAAAAGGTGAGGGGAGACGGCGACGTAGTCTTTACAAAGAGCGACGCTATATGCTGGCATTTTGCGTCACTTGTGGTTTCCTGTCCTACCCCTCGCCCTGGACATGCTACACCGCTTTGGGATTTATATAGGGCGGTGCGATGTTCAGCGGTAAAGCCCAAACCCAAAACCCTAGAAGACTCTGATGCCTAAAAACAAGCCCTCGGCTCCCCAAACCCTAGAACACCCTCGAAGCACTGAGTCCGAAAAGACCCAAGGATCCTAAGCCCGGGATTGCGGGTTATTCATAAAGTCTAAACCTCATTGAATTCTCAGCCCTCGCATCCTACACCTTCCTTTTTGAACCCAGACTCTGCCAATCAGCTAGTGCTGCTTCCTACACCTTCCTAAACCCTAAACCCTCAACCCTCAACCCTCAACCCTAAACCCTAAACCCTAAACCCTAAACCCTCAACACGGGGCCTCGAAGCAGTTAGCGATCTGCCGTGGATTCATCCTCGGCTGCTTGCTCCGCCGTTGGGGGGCTGGGGCGGGGCTTAGCCAGTATTTTTTTGGTTGTGGGTTTAGGGTTTAGGGTTTAGGGTTTAGGGCTTGTAGGGCTTAGGCTTTGTAAGGGTGTGATTTGAGGTCGGTCGTGCGCTTGGGCGTCGCGCTCAGGCTGACTGTAAACCCATCACGGCCGCCTATGCTCAACTCTTGTTCGGTTTGCTTCTTTGTCTGGCCAGCAAGCTCTTGGTTCCTTCACACAGTTGATAACAAGGATGTGCTGGCTGCCGAACTGCTAAGAGACCAGTGGAGCTTTACAGCGGAAGAAGGAACAGCAATACTTTTGATGAGGCCTCGATCTACAATGCATCACAACTCACGTATCTCGGCCGAGCGAAGGACTTGGGTGGGCCTCGCCATGGCCTTTTGAGAATTGGCTTTTGTTTTACTGGCCGCCCCAGCACTCGATGCAAGCAAAGGGTGTAGGCATCCTGCAATCCTGAACTCGTGGAAATCGGATGCACGCCCAGGAGCTTGGAAACGGTGGCCCGCACTGCCTGAATTCGGCACGTTGGGGGTTCTTATTGCGCAGGCATTGTTGGGGGATTAAGGTTTAGGGAATGACGGTCTGGGCAGTGTAGGCGGTGTCGGCAGGGGCGTTAGGGAGGGAATTCACACGGAAGCTGACAAGGCAGCTTTGGCAACGACAAGATACATTGATCGACACACTGTGGGGCTCGTTCCATCTTATGGGCCCTGATCGGACATGCCCACTGCCCAAATGATAGTATTTCAAGTGGCCAGCAAAGCCTCGTAAGCGCTGCATCTGGTTTGCCTTGTTTTCCTGTGCCTGCACCAGCATGTCCAGGGGTTGAGACGGGACATCAGCAGGACTTGTTCACCACCTGGTACCGGTCAGGGGACCTTCTCGTTTTGTCGAAGTCTGGCAGAAGATACGCTGCTCAGGAGCTACAAAGCGGTTCTTTTTTCGGGCTCTGCTTGCATCCAAGCAGACTGACTGCGAGGCGCAGTTAATCTTAACTGAGCCTGGTTGCATCGGCCATCAGCCCCTGAATCTGTGTCATGAGATCCTCTTTGCGCGAGGCGGCTCGGAGGTCTTTCTAAACCGGGCCGGAAGCCAAACACCGTGGACCGTTTTGAGTCAATCTGCGCTGTCCTAATATCCAACACTTTTCCTACAGTCTCTGTGCAGAACAGTACAGTAGATACTGCCCAACTCTCTCGGCCCAAACCTATTTCCTCTGTGTTTCGGTCGTTCCTTGGCACCAGAAACCTCTGCAAAACGTGTCAGAAAATGGCAGGAGCCCCACTACCCGAATCCCAATGTGCTACAGTACAACCGAAAACACACACACACACACAGACACACAGACACACAGACACACAGACACACAGACACACAGACACACAGACACACAGACACACAGACACACAGACACGCAGACACACAGACACACACACACACACACGCACACACACACACACAAACAAGCCCAAAACGAACCAACAAATCGCATCCGCCCAACATCTAACATCAGGATTTTACTAAACCCCTAATATCCACGCACGACCTATGCGAAAGGCCCTGAAATGAAGCTTCAAGATTTAAGTCGTATTGTTATCGGACATTTCAAGCCCGAAACGCCTCCTGGCCTTAACACCGCAAACCCCAAAAACTCGAGCCCTAGAGCCCCAAAGCTGGTTGTTGATGAGGTGCCCGAAACGTTCAAGATAACTTATGACTAGATACCTTAATTACACCTTGATGGAAATTACAAAGTATCCCAAATTGACTAGATCGAATCTGGTTTAGGGAATCATCAAAGTAGCCCAAAGTGCCACTTGGTAAGCCCCGGAATGCTGAAGCCTCAACTGGTAATCTGCATGATCCTGAACGGATCGCACGTAGGTTGCAACCATCGGCCCTCTGGGAGATATACATATATGTATATGTGCATATACATACATGTGCATATACAAATATATATATATATATATATCCACGATGCAAAACACAGGGGTGATAGATAAGTAGACAAGTGGTTACGTTTTTCTGCAACCGGCATCGTTAAGAAACACCAGAGCATGATCCACAAATGGCCGGGTCCTCCCGGACATTGATGGTCCGGACCTGAGGACCGCATCGGACGAGGTATGCTACTATGGTAATCATAGTAGCGCTTAGTTGTTATTATGGCTATCCTTCTGTTGATAATCTTTATTGTGCGTGTGCTACTAACAAAATGATAACGCATCATTGTTGTTGTTGTTGTTGTTGTTGTTGTTGTTGTTGTTGTTGTTGTGATTGCTGTTGTTGTCGTTGATGTCGTTGCTGTCGGTCATGGTGTTGGCGTTGGTGTTGGCGTTGGTGTTGGNNTGCTGCTGCTGCTGGTGCTGTTGCTGTTGCTGTTGCTGTTGCTGTTGCTGTTGCTGTTGCTGTTGCTGTTGCTGTTGCTGTTGCTGCTGTTGTTGTTGTTGTCGTTGTTGTTGGTGGTGTGTTGATCATTATTATCATTTTTTGCGTTGTTAGTACTATTCCATTCAGAATTCTGCACTGTCACAACAATACATTGCTGTCCGTCACATGCAGCAGCGTCGGATGTGAACACCACGTTACTATCAGGTTTCGTCCATGACTGGCTCCTTAACTTAATGGAATCCCGAAAGCCACATTCATGCCGAACTTACACCTGGGTTCTTCCTTTACGATACTCCATGTTGATGGAAGGTCCGTCGAAACACGCGAAGGCTGCGATGTGTGGGGCTGATAGGTACGATTAGGATGTCTATGCTTTGCTGCAAGACCAGGCTCCTAAACGACTGTCTGTGTCAGAATATCACTTCGGCTGTGAGTCACAAATATCGCATCTATGCTCTGAGAAGCATTAAAGACTCATGCCTGTCGAGCTTGCTGAATCTGCCATGTTTGATCGAAATTGGAAACGAGGACATCTCCTCCAGACCAGTTGCCACAAGGTTCGGAATACTGCGAACATGGCTTTCGAGTGAAAGCATGCGCAGTCTGCACGAACACATGCTTTTGGACTTCCATTCGCATTCTGCTTAAGGTTTGACATGCACCGTAGATCAAGTGCGACCCGAGCTGCATGGTGCTCATCCAAGTATTTCTGGAACCTCGCATGCCCGCAGATGAGATAGCATTTCGGGGCTGAACAGCATTGGGCCTGACTAAAGGTTGAAGATTGAATGAAGTGCTTCTGTTTTTCAAATCGAATGAAGATAGGAACAAAACCGCGGCAAGGGACCTAAGCAGCACAGTATGAAGACTACAAGAAGTTGCGTGTGGTGCTTTGCAGATGTAAGCAATTACATAACATAGTCCAAAACGCTACAGATCCCGACATAATAGTAACAGTAGGTTATGACCCTGCTTGAAAAAGCCAAAGCCTTTAACATAATCCGTAAATTGATCCAACTGCTCCCTGAAGCCTCAGCTTCAAGAGACGACTCCCGATGACGTCCGACTTACAGGCCCTCCAACCGCCCTTTGCAAGAACGTTCCTCCCGTTCGTGTTCATGGTCTGAGGGTCTAGAGTCTAGAAAAGTGCTTAGTTTAGGACTTGAACGAGTTTTTTGTGTCACAACTGGGATCGATGAGATATGTTGCGCAGAGCAGACATCCGTCAGGGAGCCGTCATCAAGTTGAAAACGACCGTGCCGCCCGAAGCCCGTGACCCAAAAGCACACTCTTTGCTGCAGGTTGACGGGCAGATGCTTACATACACACATATATATATATATATATGTAGGTATATGTGTGTGTGTGTATGTGTATATATATATATATGAACAACCCTTGAGAAGCAAGCTTACGCCCGGAAAACTTTGGTCGAGTCGCTTCGATTCTAACTGACACGCTTGTTTAAAAGGGGTCAAGGTGTCGGGTCATGGAGTCAGGAACTTACCGTTTACGTTAGATCGGCTGCAGCACGGGGGCTCGTCCAGAGACATCTTGTTCGCCGACTCAAACTTGCCGTAGTTGTCACCATGCTTTTGCACGGCGTCGTTGTTCAGATGCACCATCCTGGACGCAACTAGTTGAATAACTCACTCCAGAATTACCTCCGTCCGTCTTCCGCTGCCAAGAAATACACATGAACAGATGAGACGAGGGCTTGATGTACCCGAATGTGCCCAACCCATGAACACCTGATCCCTCACCAGCAGCAACACAAGGAAACCCAAGCACACTACTACAGCCCAGACATTCGCCGTTGGGCTGGATAAGTAGCCCTCGCTGTGATGAAGGACTCCTCTTCGGATACCGGCATGAAGAAGGAAAAGGAGGCCCCTAATCAACGAAATAGCCAGCTTCTGCCCCTAAATAAGGCACTAAGGCTTCTATGCGATAAAGGCTCTAAACCGGGTTCTGGAGATGAGTCTCTTGGGATCTATTTTGATTTGTATATCCTGATATCCTTGTGAAGAAACACCAGGCGAAGAACATCGGGATCTTGCACCTACTAAACCAAGGACGCCCACAAAGGCAGGGAAGTCTCAAGAAGCTCAGAGGTCCTCGGATCAAACGGTTCGAACGGAACCCACCTCCCCTATCCCAAGCCCACCGGGCTCTACGTTTCAAGTTCTGCCAAAGAGGCAAACAGGAATGAATGCCCCTCAAAGCATCACGGGCCAGGCCTGTCCAAGTTCTTGGTGGTGTACCTCGGGATCGAAGTGAGTAGCCTACCAAAGCAGGATGCCCGTTCAGACGTCCTGCATGAAGCTTTTTCCCACTGGGCTCCACTCAAGCCAGTTTCCAACGCCTCATCTGCGTGCCAAGATGCTGAGCACTGGTGGTGCGGAGGTATGCATCCCTGTAGTAGAAGGCCTTGAAGGACCAGTTCGTCGGATCTTGGAGCAGGAGACAGTACCTGGAAAGCCAGGAAGCCTTGGGGATTATAAGGTGTCAGGGCTTGGGGATTAACGCCTTTGACTAGTAGCAGTCTTACTCACACTATGACACTATGACTCGTGTTGCTATGATCAAGTGTTGTTGTTACCGTTGTTATATTACAGTATAATATAGCAACAGTCACGATAATAATTATAACTGTCAAAATTAAGAGTTCCGCTATTCCGTTCGGGTGGGTCTTTTTGCGCGGTCCATATACCTCTGTAGTCGATACTCAGGCCCTCAAGTGGCTCCTATGTCACGGTTTGGGGTTTAGGGTTTAGGGTCTATGTAGGTGCCCCAAGTATATACTCTAAAGGCTCATGGACCTGGTTTCGGGATGTTGCGCTGCCTATCTTTTAAGACTGATGCACTCATGCAGCCTTGCCTTGGAGAGCAGGTGCTACTCGATAAGGAGCAATCCACACGGCAGGAGTTTTTCTCAGCGGCAACGTGCTGTGTGCTTACATATGAGTTGCATACTAGACATGCTGCGTTGGACCTGTCTGGCTCTGCCATCCTTCCGGAAACACCAAACTTTAAACGGAAACCGAATCGACCACTCCCTCCACACGCAAGCTTGCGCCTGAGCGGGGATGTTGCGCTCAGGGTTTCAGGTTAAGGGCTCAGAGTATGTGAGGAAGGAGCAACCTTGGAATGCCAGGCGCTGGTTGCCATATTGTTATATGGGAGGCACTCATAGTTAGAATGAGGCGCTGTGGTATGAATAGTATCAATGTACAAAGGAACCCAACGAGAAGTAGTTGTAACCACCAAGGCTCCTATTTCACTCGAGCAAAACAGCAGTTGAAGAACCACCGAAGCCCCGTGCTCAGCCAAGCTGGGAAGCTCCAGGCTCTTGGAGGAAGTGGGCACAGTCAAAAAAAAGTCGTAAACCCAGACCCCTGCCAGGATCCAAGAAGAAGATCCCTTAAGCGGGGGCTCCGATAAAGGACCCCTCAGTCTCAACTTTCGGGTTCTACCCATAGTCTCCATTGTAGTTCCTTTTTTTGGTTTAACCAGTTTTTTTATTGGGATCCTATAAGGTAACCACAAAAAGGAAAGACAATGGAGACTATAGGTACTTTGGGGTTCTACTTTGTGGATCCTGGGGGGTCTGGGGGTTTAGGGTTTAGGGTTTAGGGTTTTTAGGGTTTAGGGTTTAGGGTTTAGGGTTTAGGGTCTGGGAAAAGACCCTGCAGACAGCTCCTCGCTTCGAGCGAAGCCCCCGATCTTCCAGCTGAGGTGCTCCCAAAGAACCCAGGTTAAATACCCCCACTCAGGATTACTATGGTCATGTTGGGGGTCTTAGTAGGGGCATAAAACCATCAGTAAGAATTTCGCAAGACCACGTAAAAGCCTATAGACATTCGCAGTTTTCGAATCCAAAACCCTAAATAATGCTAGGGTTTAGGGTATAGAGTTTAGGGTGAATCCTAGACCCTCCCAAACTCAACCGGAATCCGGAAGGCCCACTACAGCTAAATACTAAATCCTAAGCCCTCCTCCAAGACAGACCTCTAAACCCTCCACACCACCCCTACTCTAAACCCAACACCCTGAGCCCTGCACCCTCTAAACCCCCAGCGTTTTGTCGTTTAGGGTTTAGGCCCTGAGCCCCTAAACCGATCCCCCTCCATAGTTGCGCAACAAAACATCACTGGCAACAAGTCTTCTGCCAGGCTACGCTCGGATATCGAACTTGCCTGTCAGGGGCTTTGGGGCTTTAGGGCTTTGGGGGGTTTAGGGGTTTAGGGCTTTGGGGGTTTAGGGGTGTGGGGGTTCAGGGAGTTAGGGATCTAGGGGTTTAGGGTGTAGGGGCTTTGGGTGTCTATAGCTTCAAGGTTTCCGGGTGCTAGTTCAAGGCTTGGATCATCGAGGTTTATATGGGTTTCTACTGCAGCTTTCCTATGCTAGCCCATACATGCGCCTGAGACATATATAAATACAGAACCTGCAACAACCTGCAAACTCGAGAACCCCCAAAAATTCTCTCATCGGCTGGGGACGCTTAAGGGCTTGTTCGAGCCAAGCGACGCCCATGCACCAACAGCGGCTTTTCGATGTACCTTATGCGATGCCCACATAGGGCTTGTGCAAAGTCTGGGGCTTTTCGATTTACCCACAACTCCAAGACACGTTGCAAGCCAAGCTATCACGGCACTCTATCTCTCTCTTCTTCAATATCCGGCCCAACAAAGTCCAAACTTTCCAACATAGACCAGCATAAGGCCAGAAAGTAAAGCTTGAGGTTCTTCTTCCTTGACAATCTAGGATCTAGTGTACATAACTTCTTGAAGTCGAGGCTCGAAAACCCCGAAACTAGCTATGCGGCTATGCAACATCCCACGACATGCATGCCTGCGCACATTAACACGAGCTCGGCAAAAATGGTTTTCTGTTTTGACATGTCCAAGCCTTTTGGCGGGCTCAGGTTAGTCCTCAACATCTCGAACCTCAAATCTGTCTTCGGCTTGACTATGCAGCTTCAGACTATACCCCTTTTTCGACCTTGCCCCGATACCTTAAGCCTGGAATTATTGCCAGAAGCATGCATATATGTTCACATATGTTTATATTCACGTGTTACAAACAACGTTGCATCTTCAACACCGGAAGTACGTCGAGCTCTCTGTGGGGATACCAAAGGCAAGGCTGGAACACCCGCCCCCGCCCGTCCAACAGAGAAGGTCGAAGCCGTGCGTCGCCGCACATCCTAAAATCCCCGATGTGAGCAAAGAAGCCGGTTCCTGGATTCCTTGAGTTTCGGAGCTCACACTCGGACAATCCAGGCGAGGCATGCTTCATTTATAAGGCTTCAGACTCCTAAGCCCTGGACCGTCCCTAAACCCTATAACCCTAAACCCGACATGTTCCTCAACCTCCATGTAGCCCGAAACCCCAGGCCATGCCCCCTAAAGAGGCCGATGAAAGCACCCATGTGACGTATATAGGGGTCTCTCGGATATCTTGTCAACATGAATGCTTTTGGTCCGGTGAGGTTTCTATAAGAGTTCTACAAAAAGGGGTCAATAGTTCTACATAAGGGTTCCGTATAAGAGTTCTATGGAGGGGCTTCAAAAACAAGGGCTACAAAAAACTCAGGATAGAATGGTGGGACCTGCTCCTGAATTCTCTCTCTGCCCTAAGGCTCCATGTGCCCATATAGTAGATACTTTGGCCTTAAAGTACCTATATGGGGACCCCTTTAAGGCTTAAGTATCTACTACAAAGGTACATGGAGCCTTTGGGCTTATGGCCCGGGTACTTTTGGATGGCCCATGCGCGCTCTTTGGCGTCCACGCGGGCACGCACCTCCTCAATCGTCTTAAAGATTCCTCAGCTCAGGCCGGCCAGGGGGTGTAGGGCATTTATTGGGTTCATGGATCTACCGGCCGTTTGGGTTTAGGGTTTAGGGTTTGGGGTTTGGGGTTTAGGGTTTAGGGTTTGGGGTTTGGGGTTTAGGGTCGGGCTTGGGGGTCGGGGCTTCGGGGCTCGAGGTTTCAGCCTGCAGATCTAAGCAAAATGTTACCCGAAACCCAAACCTTTGAACCTTGAGCCTCTGAGGTTTCGGATTTTGGTGGCGAAGGGGTGAGCACATGTTCTGGCATTGACAACCATGACTCTAGACCACCACTAGAGAGGGACACTTTAGGTTATTTAGCGGCTTTCAGGTTTGTATGAAGGTAAGCGGTTTTCGGGGCTCTTTGGGTCGAAAAGTCAGACTGGAGGGGCTTGGAACAGCCTTGCTGACGAAAATTGAAGAGAAATGCTTAGGGCTCCGGCGCTCACACTCGGACAAGTATTAGGGTTTCGACTCTCGCTCGCGTTCTGAGGTCTTCAGGTTTTAGGTTTTTGCGGCACTCGCTCTCCAAAGCGTGTAGGGTTTAGGGACAGTCCTCTGCCTCTGTTCAGGGATACAAGTGTGCTTTGACTGCGCATCGAGGTCGGATCGTTGGAGGGTCCTTCTTGTCATTCTTCCTTTCATGGCAGGCACCGTAAAGGGAATATAAATCCAGAGCAACCTCTACACGCAACTAGCCCTGCAACGACTTGTTACATGAGGGTTCAGAATGTCGATAATGATAAAGGATGAGATTCGTTTGCAAGCTCTTTTCAGTCAGTCTATAAGAGGAGCTTGTAACATTTGGCATGCCAGATGCTGAACAGGACCATAACGTCGCGATGCACCCGTCTCCATGAACAGCTTCACTCTTTACTGTATATCCCCACACTACCTGCCCCGAAACGCTTGGAACCACATAACGACGAGCACAACAGTACCAGCCCAAGCATCGTATCCCACAGCCCCTGTTCGCCCACTCTGCAGGCTTGACAATCCAAATCCTTGGCTCGGTTTGCTGATGTCGTCGGCCGATACTCGGCTTGAGAATGTGCTGGTACTTCGGGAGCACAGGCAAGTTCGAAATCACCGAAAAAACTACCCAACAACTCTTCCTCAAATGGGTATTTAAGGTCACGCCTCATCTCCCTTCCTGCTTTGGGCTCGCGGCACCTCCCTTCACAGGATGGGCCACGAGAACCGGGCCCTCTGTGCTCTTGTCATCTCCTGGGTCGCAGTCCTTCTTCCCTGTGGGTGGATGGCAGCCAGGCTTGTGTATTGATGATATACCAGAAGCCAGAAAGTTGGAACATAATTATCCTCCTACCCTTAATCTAGAATGAAGGCAAATCCAGCACCTATCATCCTTAACCCATGTTCCAGCTTTATGGCTTTTGCTATAGGTTTCAAAAAATGAGAACCAGGCCGCCCCTGTACTGCCGGAATTAACCTTAGAGCGCGAAAGGCTCTAGGATGCTACCCAGAGACTCCAATATCCCTTAATTAAGGAATATACCTTAAATCGTATTAGGGATCCTACTATACCCTAAACCCTAAACCCTAAACCCTTAATTAAGGGATATTGGAGTCCCTGGGTATGTTGTGGGAGTGCCAAGCCCCGGGTCCTGGCAGCCCTGCCCGTGCCCTGCTTTAAACGGGGATCCTCAACAAAAACCGACCTTAACCTACCATAACCCACTTTTTTGTAGGTTCTTATTATAAACCCTAATATGGGATTTATAGGGACCCTGCAAAAAGTAGGTTCTGGTAGGTTAAGGTATGTAAGCTCTTCTAACCCTGCTTGTCCAGTTTGTTGGTGTTTAGCGTTACCCTGGGATTCGACTACCCCCTAGCAGGTTCCAGGTCAGCTACTGGGCTCAAAGGAAACACTGCTTGGTGACAGGCAGCCGCTGTTTTGACTCGTCCGAGAAGAACCGGTATGCATCCTGCGTCGAAAAACGCTCGGGCATGCAGGGAAAAAGGAAAACAACCTTGTAAAACTTTTCAAAACGCCCCATGGGAACCCATATCGTGACCCTCTAATGAGCAATCCAAGAAGAAATCGAGCTTGGGACTTGGTTGGTGAGGCTTTGATCACTCAGGGTTCTTGTCGATGCTGCAAGTTTCGAAAGTGCGCCCGAAGCCCCGCCTTCACCTTCTCATTTCTCAGGGTCCACACTGGTCTACGTACCGTTAGATGCCCATGCCCTTGTTTCAAGATGTACCCTTGGCCCCTGTTAGATGGTCATGTCTATGTAACTTTAAGATACCCCCAGCAAGCTGTCACCCCGGATTCTCAGCTCCTCGAACATGGCAAACCTGACAAGCTTGCAGACATGGGATTTGTTTTGCAAAGAGGCACCGTATCGAAACCCGCACATGGGGTTCAGGGTTTAGGGTTTAGGGTTTTAGGGTTTAGGGTTTAGGGGCATAGAACCCCAAACTCGAAACGCTGAAGTTATGAGCAGCTCTCCAAAGGCTCCTGACGTCAGATATCTATGCTGCAGCTGCGATGGTTCCCTGTCCCGAGCCCCATGACCATCCGGCTGTCCGCAAAGGCTTCACAGGGCCAGGGGACATGTTTCAAATGCCCCTGATCTATATATATATATACACACATACGTCTATATACATGTGTATATATATATATACATGTGTGTGTACAGATCCGTATACACAGTATACACACATACGTACATACATAAATACATACATACATACATACATACATACATACATACACACATACATACACACATGTATACATGTTTACATGTATACATGTATACATGTATACATACATACATACATACATACATACATACATACATACATACATACATACATATTGTGGAGGCCCGGTTTGAAAAGTACAGTTCTTCAATGGGTTGGGGATTCCAAAAAAGGCTCCGAAGGATTTGCTGGCGAACCTCATTCTCTGTGCCGGGTTTGCAGCACTTGGCAAGCCAGGTGGTGCTGCAGGAGCAACTTTCGGCACTGAAAAAGGCTTCAGAGGCAAAGAAGGCCGTGAATGATAGTTTTGGTGACTCCTACTTATTTATCCATACTAAAGCGGATCGTGCATCCTAGACCTCGCTTTACTGGGGCATTCGTGCCGGAGGTCTAAGCCTCGGAATGGGGTTTCTGGGAATGTGGCAACAAGCCACAGCTGGACGCCGCTGTGAAATCCCTGTCCCTGCATCTTCGCAAGCAGAGACCTCGGACCTTTGCAGCGCGTGCGTGAGTGAGTGAGTGAGTGAG